TATGCGAAGAACTTCATATCAGCCCCAATAACTTTCATATACAACTTTTTCTTATGGAAGTCATATCAAAAAGTTAGGTGGGAGGCGAAGGGTATATTTATAGCCAGACACCACGTACATAGTGTTTTCCCATTATTCTTTTGGAACTTGGAAAGGGACTTTGAAAAAACTGTGGATAGTGGGGTCCGGTTTGCGCGACTAACCCAATTGAATAAACTTTCAGTTCATTAAACATAGCTGTCATGTCATCGATAGACGAAACGTAGGCGGCTCTGGATCCAGAACACTCATTTCAGCAACCATTCCTAAGAGTAAATCAACTTGCCCTTATAGTGTATGTGATCTTTCAGTCAGACAAAGGTTACATTGTTCTTGTCGGAGGTACCCACAAGGTGCCAGATGGCAATGTACTACTGTTCACGTTTTGAGTTTACGATATCTGATAGCACTAACTTTCTACTATACATTTTTCTTGCGATATTCCTGAGAAAAATTGATAGCTAAATCAAGCCATGCTGCGCTGAAATGTGTTTTCTATAACCTATACCGGACTCTCCAGGCAGAAAAGAAAAATTATAGCATCTTCCATGGTCGCAACCAACAAGTCACTGTAAGGCCATACGTATAAGTTTTTGCTTTTCCAGGCAGGGTCGGTTGAATTGTACAACCTCACTGCATTGAAAATAAAACATCTTTGAAACAATGCGGTGTAGAGTATAAAGGCATTGTATGGTTATTATGATGCCTCAGACCTCTAAGATCAATTATTCTTCTAGATATCAACTTACTATGGAGATGAATCGGATTCTTAGTGCATACTATCTCATCCAAAGATATCTCAAGATTATATTCAAATTATTGATCCATCTTCAGTCATTTCAAGTCCGTGATCTCAGAGACTATACACGCTACAGCAGTCGCTTTGCAATCTCTGGAAGCTACACCGATCCATCGAGTCAAGACAAGGATAATATAAAATTAAAGCATAGATAGCGCTGAACACTAAACATTCAAACTAGCTGTTTACGGGTTTTAGAACTCAAAATGAAAAAGAGGTACCTGATAATTTATTTGCTTCATTTATCCAGCAAATAAAGAAACAATAACTGATGCTTGTGTGCGTAGCTTTCCATGCCTTCCAGGTGGGGGGAGCTTAGTCCATCTGATTTAATTATCGGTTATGCAAACCAAGAAGAGATGTGCTTGTTAGAACAGTTCATTTGTTTGCAATCTCTTTGATCTGATACATGAGCAGCTATCGAAAATAACATCATGTCACGTGCCAAAATCACTTAACCTTTTTTTAATATTTTGATCATTTACTACTAATTTGAATTTCACTTTATTAACGGTAGAGTGCCCATTCCTAGGCCAAACCCTTTTCAATGATCTTCTTTTGGTAAATTTGATAGTTTATTGAGTGTATAATTTCACATGTATTATATCTTTCTTTCTTAGTGATTCAGTATTGTGCTGGAAAAAGAACTGCGTGGTTTTTCTATCGAACATATCTTCTTCAGGACATGCATTAATGTACTTGGTCCAATGGTATAAGAAAAAAAAAACTTACCGCTAAAGATTAGAATCCCATAAAAAAATGGACGGGGTAGCACCCAAACCAAAACAACTAAACGTAAGGTACTATAAGAAGGGGTACTACTCCACAAACTGGTGTTTGGCACCTAATATCCCAGAATCTGGAGGTTGAATAAATGGCTCTCACACCACAATCTCAGGAGGAAAGTGACTGACACGAAACACCCCACTTTATAAGGGAAGGTTCAATGAGCGGCCTAGAAGAAGATATGTTCCATAGAAAACCAAGTAACGGAGTAAAACCACAGAGTTTTTTTCCAACACTGAGAAGGAAATACGTGTGAAATTATGCAATCAATAAGCTATGAAATTTACCAAAAGAAAATCGTTGAAAAGGGTTTGGTCTAGGAATGGACACTGTACCATTAATAAAGAGAATTACTAGTAAAATAGTAAGAAAAAGGTTACGTGATTTTTGCACGTGACAATCACCATTACCGAGAGGAGGCCCAATAAGTGAGCGAAACTCCGTCATTCAGTCTTGCATCTCCTGAAGGATTGCTCCATATTACAAATGTACACCATATTATTTGTCAAAGAAATCGCACCATTTGTATCATATAAAGTTACGCCTTTGTGCTGGAGACTGTCAAGGAAGAAATACAGCTATCGAAAGAAATTTGGCGTGAAAAAGTTTCAGACAAATAAACGCACTTTTTCCTTTTTCTGTAGCGTAAATGTATCTCGGAGAGTATACAAGAAACTATTGTATCGAAAAAGTTGTTTATGAAGAAAAATTCCCCGGAAATGTGAGACCGCTTTTAGGGAGTAGATGGATGGCGCTTCTCAACTTTCCTATTTTATGAATGGTGTTTATTTGTCATGATATTCCAGCTGTTAGCTTGTCTCAGATAGAGCGCTTCGAACACTCAATTATTCGCCTGATTTAAAACTCATCGTAATCTGCGTTGTAGTCCCTAGCTAGAGCCCATATCTAACTGTACTTTGAAAGCAGACAGTCAATTCAGAATGAATGTCATTTCACTGGGCGGCCAGCATTCTTCTCAGCAAATAAGTAGTTTTTTCTACAAATTTAGAGACAGAAAATAGTCAAGTTAACAATGAATATAAAAGTAAATTTACATGTTATAATACTTTCTATACGTAGTTCTAGTTTCTATTTTGTAGGGAATAAAACTTCTTACAAAACATTGATGGATCCTCAAGTATAAGAACCGAAAGTTAGATATTCGTATGAGAACTGTCACGCGGCTTGCCCCGCGCTCTACGTACGTGGCACTAAGGAAAATGGATTGACCTTGAAAGGGTATTGAAAGAATGACAGCGTAGGTTTTAATACGAATTTTCATCTTTGCCTCCGTATACTCCGAGAACCACCAAGGAGTTGAAAAAACATGATTAACCTTTCCTGTGTTAAATTGTATTCTCTACAGTACATATTGTTGTACTTTACGCTTATTATCATTTATGAAGCAACAAATTGGGAAGACTTGTAAGAAATGTAACACGTGAGAAAGACTTTAGTAATATCGTACATTGGCTGAGATCTGACTCACTGAGCATTACAAAATGTACTTACCAGCCCATAATTACATAATATCAATCTATGTATCGTTCCTTCAAATGTACTTTGTTTTTTTCTTTGCGTATGTGTATCGATTCACTGATAATAATTATTTGTTTAGACATAATAAGCGGAAATATCATTACATGTATAAAATAATAATAACTATATTAATAATTTACTTTATTCATGAATGGAAGAGAAAGTTCTATCACAAATGAAAATGTAATTTCAAAAATTGTAATGATGGATCAAAAATGATAAACCATAAATCTAAACAAAAAACTCCTCCAAGGTGTAGAAAAAACGTTTTAGTTTTTTTTAAACAGGCTATATTTGACACATTCTTAATGTCATTAGAAACCTTACATCACATATATGTACATGTTATTTAATAGGTAATAGGAGAACTCTTTCAGTTCTCCCACTTTCCCAATTAAGAATATCAAAACGGATATAGCAGTTGACGGTGGCATAGTATAAAATGATTAAAATTCGTTTACTGCACTGATTTGCTAAGAATTTCAAGCCATAACAACTCCTTCTCAATCTAGTGCACAAAGAATCACCGTGGAACCCCCAGTCGACACTCGACAATCAAGAATCATCCCGAGCATGTTAATTGAATTAGATGATGGAATAGTTTTGTTAGCATTATCAAAGAGCTTGATATCTTTTTCTTTTTAATTTTTTATTACGAATTTCACAATGCTGGTGTTCTCTGTGTTTGTTCGGAGCAAGTTCTGTTCAGACCATTTAATGATTCTGTTCTATACCCCTCAGTCATTGCAGGCAGCTCAGTGATGTTTGGACTGGTAGTCAAGATATCGGTGTCATCTGCATACGCCACAACCTTATATTCTGGACTACCTTCAGATATGAAGCCAAACAAATCGTTAGCATACGACAGGAAAATATACCCTTCAATTTCTCATAATCCGTTGCCCACACTTCATTTTTTGTAGAAGCAAAATGATAAAGAGTTTTTCTTATTCCCTACAAAGTCGTTTCTATCTGTTTGTTACATATGTTGGATGGTTTTCGAGATTTTCGATCAAAGTCCCACCAACAAAAAAATGTCTGTCGTCAAAGTCACAAAATCTCCCTATTTATTGGCCTACCACCTTATTTCACAGACTGATGCGCACTTGGCAGAGTGTTGGCATTTTCGCTCAGTATGAGTCCATTTGTACAATGTTGATAGTAATATCATCTATAAGAAAGCTATAGGCATGCTCACCAGTTTCGAAGGTCTTCATGGAGTCAGTTGGTAGCCACCTTGACCACATTCTTCCCAATTCTGACCGAAGGATGGGGTCATCATGACCTAGAGCAGGAAACACGAACTGAGAACTGAAGGTCTTCCTTAGCAGGTCAGTCAGGTTCTGCAGGAGGTCGATCTGGCGAGACTCGGGAAGACGTCTGGCTGCATGGGATAGCCCGTCACTGCAAAAAAAGAGATGAGTGAAAAATCATGCTCTGCATCTGAAGATAAAAATGATTGAGGTTTTGCTTTTCGTTTCTTTTTAACACGGTGACTGCGTTACATGCCGCCGGCTATATGTGAGAATTTTTCTTGGGAGACGGGGGTGACTTAAACCAAAATACGATGCAAGCGCGTTAGTCTCGAAAACGTTATTTTTTTTAATGATTTCAATGTTATAGATAGCTTTCTGATCCTTATGATACCTAGTTTCATGTAAAGCGTAAATTTTCTTACATATCCCGGGGGATATGTTTCGCACACAACTAATAGGAAATTAACTTCTGTGCGAAACATATCCCCGGGGTCCTGTATTAACGAGTTTCAACTTGCATACTTCTTGAACATGTATTTCGTAAATAAGCATATTTAGTTGACCGTGAGCCACCGACAATGATGTCGCGCTCAGAAAAACTGCTTGAATTAGCGGCACGAAAATTTAAAGAAAGTAATGCTTTGGAATTAGAGAGGTCCGCTCAAAATGATTATAGTTCTCCTGGTCCCTCAGGTGTTACGCGTACTGTGAAACAAATGAATGATGGCGGTAGTGATTCTGACTTAGAATGGGAAGACTTTGATTGTGATGACTCTGTGAAAGACAGAACTTATCAATGTGATTCAAATGATGAGGGTAGTGGTGAAAGTAACGCAGGTACTTACTATAAATTTATATTGGTCGAAAGAGCCCCTATTTCACAATGAATTTGTTTCATCGATTTTTACAAGAGACAGGTTTCTCTTGCTACTAAGGTTTCTCCAATCTTCTGACAACGAATCCGCCGATACTATACGTATATACAAATATACTGAACAAAATAGCTCCTCTTATTTTACTCCTGTTAAAAACTTAATAACAAATTTTGAGTCCAGAACGAGTCCTTGTCATAGACGAATCCATGGTTCCGTTTAGAGGACGGTTGAGTTTTCGGCAGTATGTACCGAATAAAACACATAGATATGGGGTCAAACTTTATAAGCTATGTACAAGTTCTGGGTACACTTACAACCTAAAGGTTTACACTGGTAAAGGCGATACACAACCTGAGCTGGGACATGCACAATCTATTGTATTGAAATTGTTGGAAGATGTGAATAAAAAAAAAGGACGAATATTATATCGCTCCGTTGATAGAAAAGTGACATAATTCAAAAATTAGCATTTTTAAGTTACGTTAATAAAAAGGCATCCTAAAGCATGTATATTCATGTGGAAAAGTGACACACCTATAGTTCTTCCTACTTACCGCTAGAGAGCAGAAGTGTCAGATGTCCTCTAAACAAGGAGGTCATGCATGTTTATTGAAAAACGACAGTTGTGATTCAGATACGGTAGTGGAGTGTTGCTAGTCGTGAAGTTTTTTATAGAAAAACGTGCTATCTCCAGTTGTGTTATCTTTCGTCGTGAAATAACTTTATACTCGTTCATTTCTTTTATAGAAAAACGTCATATTTCGAGTTGTGCCATATTTCTTTCATAGATGAGCTCATACTAATTGGTTTTATTTATGGAAGAAAGTCTTATTTCGTGATATGTCATTTTTCCTTAGAAGGTAGGTGTATTTCAGATTCATTTTATCTACAGAAAAGTGTCTTTCTTCAATTTGTGACATTGTTCTTAATATTTTACAATAAAATATTTGAATTGTGACTGTTTTCCAACCTCAAACTTGGAGATGTGAGAGTTTTCTACAAATATCAGAAAATTATTTTTGGAATTATGACATTGACAGACTAATCAGTTTCTGTTTTGTTTTAGGCGACACAACATTCCTAAATCTTGTAACAATCAGGATGTTTTGCCAAAGAGGGAAACTTATTACAAAACTAGCCTTAGAACAGCCTACAAAAGAATGGAAGGTACTTGAGACTGTGAAAGGTTAGCAAGTTTATCCAGTTTTTCATACTATATTCAGTATAATTTATGCTTACTCACCTAATAAATTAATTCCAGATTCGACTGTTGTAGAGTGTGCAACCAAGAGTGTCGATAATGCTTCACAATGTATAGTTGACGGTGAAGCTACTTTCATTGATAAAAATAATATTGCTTGCGAAATTGGCCTTAATATGGTTGATGATATTCCTGGAAGTGGTAAATATCTACACAAACGTTCTATTCACTTCAATGTGTTGTATTTCATGAAGTATTTTAAGCAATAAGCATAAGTTTTTATACCTAATCAATAGATCACAAAAGATGACCTCTGCCCAAGCCATTGCCCCTAGCAACCTGACCAACAAATCCTAGATTCCATGCAATTCCATGTAAATTCCAATTGGGCTGTCATTAAATAATCATGGTTTTTGAAGTACTGCTGTGATTTTAGTGCGCCTTTTTTATTATTTTTCCACTCTGTGAAGTTCTACAAGAATGACTAGGAAAGGGGGCATGCTTGTGTCTGTTCTATAGAGGAAAAAAATATACTGCTGGCTGGCGTGAATCCTTCCTTGTCAACACTGACAGACAGAAGTTCTGCTACATAATGCAGGACAATTTAATAACTATGGAAGTTTTTCTTAGACATCATATTGCTTCATTATTTGCTTGGTAAAGTCATAGAAAAAAATCCTTGGTTCTCCCTTGTTTACTGGATAAAGTAACCTAACACGAGGTCAACTTTTGTTGGTCCTAATCTACCTTTGGCTAACATGGAAACGCCGGGGCGTGGCATCACCACCTTTCTGGTCCATATTATCGAATTCGTTAGATCAATCTGAGTCCTCTGTATTTTCCAGATCATGCTTCTCCCAGTTTCTATGAATTACAGTCCATGGGCAAAACCCCCAATGTAATTGGCAACGCTACCGATGAAGTTGATAGTAGTATGGATAACGACATAACACCTGAAATTGGTAGGTAATCAGATCTTTCTTTGGTTTTGTGATTATGTTCTTTGCACATCCTCAGGCTTTATTATTATTTCAGAGAGTATGGTCAACGATGCTGATGAAAATGACAGTTCAGCTGTGCAAGACATTTTTGATTCTGACGATACTGATGAAGACCCAAACTACTTATCTGAGACAGAAAGCGAGAGTTCATCACAGAGCGAGTCTGTGAGCGCCATTTCATTAGCTATAGGATCCTTGGGTTCCCAGCAGGGCGCAGGAAATTCTTCAGGAAATCTTCCAGAAATTGAAAAAATAACCACAGCAGATGTTAAGAGAACTAAGAAACGTAAGCGGAATGAGTCCCAGTGGAAAAAAATGCTGCCAAATTAGCCAGAAACGCTGGAGTTGAGTATGTGTCATCATCGAAATCCAAAAAAGTGATCCGAGCAAGAGAAATGAAGCCTCCCTGCAAAGATAGCTGCAGACTCAAATGCAAAACAAGGATTACTGAGGAGTGTCGCAAAACCATTTTTGATAACTTTTGGGCATTTGGTGATTCACAACGACAACGAGACTATTTATCATCTTGCATGAAGCCTGTTAAACCCAAATACCAATACCATCGGAGTAACTCCAATCGGCGTGACAATAATTCATTCCATTTTACAGTTAATGGAAATATTGTTAGAGTTTGTAAATCATTTTTTAAATCTACTCTGGATATAACAGATAGACCAATAAGAACTGTAGTAAGCAAACAGGCTGCATGTGGAGGAATGGTGGCACAGGATCTCCGAGGAAAACATGGCAAACATCCCAAACTGGAAGCGAGCATAAAAGAAGGAATCCGAAACCATATAAACTCCATACCAAGAATCGAAAGTCACTATTTGAGAGCTCATTCTTCTCGTGAATATATCGAAGGTGGTAGGTCCCTACGTGATCTACACAGGGATTACACTAAGGCGTGTGCAGAAAATAACTCACCTGCTGGAAAGTACTTGATTTACCATCAAATTTTTACTCGTGAATATAATATTTCTTTTTTCACGCCAAAAAAAGATCAATGTGGAGTTTGTTCTACCTACACGAACGCTTCAGCCGAAGAGAGAGAAAATTTAAGAAATGAATATGAAACCCATTTATCAGAAAAAGATCTGTCCCGGGTTGAAAAATCTGACGACAAACATAAGATTGATCAAAATTATGTAGTAGCTTGTTTTGACCTCCAGGCAGTGCTACCATGCCCCAAGGGAGACACGTCAACATTCTATTATACTTCAAAGCTTAATGTTTTTAATTTCACAATATACGAAATGTCGCGAAATAAGCAGGATGATCAATGCTACTGTTATGTTTGGGATGAAACTCAAGGACAAAGAGGGGCAAATGAAATTGGTTCTTGTCTCCTCAAATTCTTAGACGAAAAATCGAAAGCAAATCCTGATGGTGAAATAGAAATTGTACTGTATTCCGACAACTGTGTGGGACAACAAAAAAATCGTTTTATTCTAACCATGTATGTGTATGCTTTGACTAAATATACCAATATAAAGTCCATTACCCACAAGTTCTTAATCCAAGGACACACACAAAATGAGGGCGATTCAGCACATTTTGTGATTGAGCGTCAGGTAAAACGCTGTTTGAAATCAGGTCCAATTTTTTTGCCAGCAGAATACGTTGGAATCATCAAAACTGCTAAGAAAAATGGGAGACCTTACTTAGTGAGGGAATTGTCTTTTAAAGATTTTTTTGATCTAAAAAAACTAAATGAGAAAATTGGATCTTCAGATAAAAGAAGTTCTAACGATGATAAGATGGGTGACATGAAAATAATAAAAATTTCAAAAGAAAATCCATACAAAATTCTGTACAAGATGTCTTATTCAGACGAACATTTCAGTACATTGGATATAAAAAAACCCAGAACGACGGTAAATAAAGGAAATGATGGTATAACCCTACAAAAATTGTACACACAGAAACTGAAGCTTGCCGACAAGAAAAAAAACGGACTACTGCAACTAGTGAAAAAAGGGCATATTCCCGTCAAACATGCAGAATTTTATAAAACATTATAATACTTTATGTTTTGTGCTTAAACATTTCAACATTCAACAATGTTTGTACATCTGCAATACTGTTTACATGTTTCATTAAAATATTTTCGAAATTTCTCGATTTTTTCTGGCGATTTTATATGACATCTTATAACAAGTAATCGTTTTCTGATATGGAAAAGTGACACAACTAGGATAAGGGTTGAAATCTACGTCGTAATTAGGGTCCACAAGGTCAAACCATACAAATTCGTCTATTTTTCCAAAGGATACATTATAATTGAAAGTATAAAAGAAAAAAATTATTTCATTCATATTCACTGTCCTGATCAATACGCTGTTCCATTGCAAAACTTTTGAATTGCCCATACCGAAAAAATGCAATTTTTGAATTATGTCACTTTTCTATCAACGGAGCGATATGCTCATAATTTTTATTCCGGAATACCGTTAGTTAAAACATTACTTGATCAAAAGTGTCTGTCTTGTGGCACACTAAGACCAAACCGAAAAGGAGTTCCCAAAGAATTCACAAAGAAAAATAAGAAGGGTGTAGTTATTGGCAGAGAGAAAAGCAAGATAAAAATTATTAAATGGCTAGACAAAAGACCTGTTTTTATGATCACGACACATCCTGCTCATAATGCTACACTAGTACCTACAGGTAAGGACAATACAATTATTTTCAAAATAAAGATTCACAAAAGATAATTTTTATAGGAAAAAAAGCGTAAAGAGGAAGATATATTGAAACCACAGTGTGTCATTGATTATAATTTGGCGAAAAACGGTGTCGACTTCAGTGACCAAATGTCCTCTTATCATACTGTTGTACGTAAATGGTATCGGTAAGTCCTTTCATATATAAATATATAACATTTAATGTATAAGTATTTTTATTTTTTTGCAGCAAAGTTATGTTTGAATTACTACTGGGCACGACTGTGGTGAATTCGTGGATTGTTTATAACATGGTTTCTGATACAAAGCTGAGCATTATGGAATTTAGAACACAACTAGCTAAAGATCTAGTAATAGAACAAGCGGAAGTCCCAAAGCAGCCAGTTTCATCGAGAAAGAGGCAACACACTTTCGTGAAACCTGAAGGTCCAAGGAAGAAAGAAGAGAAGACCATGTACTGGATGTTACAAAAAATTGCGAATAACTATAACCAGTCGCGAGGCTGACAAAAAAGTCTGACGTATAATAAGCTATTGTGAAGAATGCCCAAAGACGCCGGGATATTGCCTTCGATGTTTCAATGAAACACACAACTAAAATATCTAATTCATTATTTTCTTTCTTATCATACTCAGGAAAAAAGTTTCAATATACCAAACACAAGTTAAATACTTTTCTTTATAATTTTATTTAGAATAATGTTTTATTTTCAATAAAAATTTCAATGAAACTTGACTTTTATTGTTGAAAATTTGTACTCATCAGCATGCGGTTCTAGTCCCCAGAGATATGTACGACGTGACTCCAAGATGGATTCATCTATCCTATAAAAGATTTCAAAATGGCGAAATTTTGCTACATATCTTACAAAGATGGCGCTTAAGTATATTTTTACTATATATCTCCGAGGATATGTAACGCACAGCAGTAAAGACTCTATTACTATACCTCGGCGATATGTACCGCTGTGAACGCCAAAGTACGGATTATTAGCCCCGCAGTCAACGTGTTAAGCGATCCCACCACATTCTGACTTGGATCTATTAGTACAAATAGTCATGTTCTCTAGGGAAAAATCACCAATCTTATTTGATTACCACATTATGTGGTGTTTTTCTGGAATATCATTTAACCACTAAAGACCTAGAAGGAGACATGGTGAAAGACGTGACCCACAATTTGACAGAGAGCGTCACGTTCACAACACCGTGGGAGTAATGGTATGGGGTGCTATTGCTTATGGTAGCAGAGCATCACTACTTTTCATCAGAGGCAATATGACAGCCCGACGCAATATCCAGGAAGTAGTGGAGCCTCATCTTGTTCTATACCTAAACACCATCCAAAACCCGACTTTTCAGCAAGACAGTGGGAGACCACATATTGCCAGAGCATCGTTAGCCTTCATGGATCAACATCGGATCAACCGTTTGCCTCGGCCACCACGATCACCCGATCTATCTCCAATTGAAAATGTCTGGGACATGATCGGTAGCAGGCTTTTGAATTTGTAACACCCTCCACAGACTTTAGCAGCTCTTACTCACGAAGCTGCAGTAGCCTGGAATGAGGTACCAGAACAGGATATCGACCACCTTATCAGCACGATACCCGGGCGTGTCAATGAGTGTTTAAGAAATAGTGGATCCTCAACACATTATTGAACCAGCTTCTGCAGTCATTAAAGCGATGTATACCTACTGTATTATGAATTTACTTGTAGTTCTTTTTGTATTATAGCGTCAGAATTTAAAACGGTTGTTATGACATCTATTTCATCAATCATAATTCAGAGCCCTTTATAGGCATTTTATACAAAAATATATTTTCAGAATTATGCGAACAAACATTTATCCATTGTCATATAGTGCTGGTCTGTATTAAACTGAGTCACCACATTATAAAATATGAATACCCATGGGCATTATCATTATCGTATTTCAACTGTATGCCTATTGATCTAAAACATCAAAAACGCCAGCGATGCCTTGTTGGGTTTCAATTGATATTGCATCAAACACTTTGTACATTGATTTTTAATCATGTTCCAAATCAGTCATAATTAAAATTTAATGTATAACTTTAGGCAGTATGTACGTATTTCGGAACTTTCCAATAATAAGCATACGAAATATGCATTGAACTGCACGAAACACTCTTCAAATTTTAATGATGTCTAAAATAAGTGATTATTAAAATTTGATTCATAACTTTATTCAGTACGTATTCCAGAACGTTCCAATAATAGATAGTCAGAGATATGCATTCAAGTACCTATAGCTTGATGAATTCAGGAAGTAATTCATGTTTGATGATAAAATGCTTGTTTTGACTGACTTTAATAATTCTTACATGCCACGGTGATGTAGAGGAACCAGACATAGAAAATTATTTTATTATTTGGGATCTACAAAAAGAAAGCTGCATAGGAATGAAAGCGGTGCAAAGTTACTACTAAGTAGTAATACATTTTTAAGTAATAAATAACAGCAAACATAAATAAACATAACCATATTATGTGAGGTTATTCCTCTTCTGGAGAGACGGAATGAAGTTGTCCTAGATACTTGAAAATGTTGTGAGGCTTTTAAATATCCCATTTTCGAAAAATTATTACACAAAATTATATAACAATTTTTGGGCAAAAAAAAGTACATGTTCTGGCCAATATGGATTTAGAAAAGGAAAATCGACTACAGACGCAATTTTTGCTGCAATGGATGAAATTAATTCTAATGTCGACAGAAAAATACCTACTATTGGTAGCCTTGTTGACCCAAAAAAGCCTTTGATTCGGTAAACCATGTCGAGCTTCTGAAAGTTATTGAAAGATTGTAATTTAGGAGAACATCACAAATTCTTTTAAAAATTTACCTTTCAGGTCAGGCACAGACTGTCAAAATCTCACTAACACTTGCAGTAGAAAAATGTTCATCAAATGTGGTGTTCCACAAGGAACAGTACTAGGCCCACTATTATGTAATCTCTACTTAAATGACTTATCCAAAATTAACAGTACTGTAAAGATTATATATTTGGGAGACGTTACCCTCATATTATATAAAGCTGATGACTGAAGTACACTGAAGCAAATCGCTGAAAACTATCATTGACTGGTTAGATAGTAAAATTTTAACAAACTTAAAAAACAAAATTTATTGCATTTACATCCTATTCAAAATTTTTACCTAGCTTCGAGCAGATTTCCGTTAATATTTTTATAGACTCACATATAAAGTGAGATAACCATATTAGATATGTTATCAAAAAAATCAGAAATGTTGCCTATAAACTCAAGATGCTTACAGAAAGTTATCTGCAAATCCTGTACCATGCCTTTGTTGAAACCCATATAATATACGGCATCAAAGCCTGGGGTACCGCCTGCAAGACATATATTTCTGAGCTAGATATAGCACAAAAAAACTGTTTGCAAAGCCATTTTCCAGAAGCCAAAATTATATCCGTCGAACAACTTATATCAGGAAAGAGGGATACTTGATACTAGACAACTTTATTTGTTACATGGCACCACCTTATACCATAAGCATTGTAATGAAAAAAATTCCCATAAACACTAGCATAACACACAATTTCTAATAGGCTCATCTAATTTTTCAAGGCCACACAAAACATTATTCAAAAAATCATTCAACTTCATAGCAGGTAAATTATTTAATGCGGTACCAAATGAAATAAAAACCCTTAAGATATATCGTTCACATACATAACGTAATTAATGCTACCAAAGGCATTCAGAAAAATTATATACAGGAAAGGTCCCAAGATAGAGCCCTTCGGAACTCCCAGTTCACTCTTACGCATTTCAGAACTGTGATTTCCAATTTCAGCACACTGTCATCTGTTGGACAAATAATCACGAAACCACTCAAACGGAAGTCCCCGTATTCCATAGCATTCAAGTCTTATCAACAACATCCTATGATTTACAAGGCCGAAAGCTTTGCTCAGATCAATGAATATCCCAATGTTCTTTTTGCCCATATCAGTGGTGCTATAGAAATGGTTGAAGAACTGTATCATTGCTGTAGTTCACAGCGCTTGTTCTAATACCATCCTCACCAACAGTCACCAGGTTTCAGATCCCTGATTATATCCAGTGTGTCCTTTTCACACGCACAGTGGAAAATTGAAATTTTTAATTTTATAAATTAAATTAATTCAATATGGGGAACGAGGCACTTTTTATACAAACGTATAATTTTTCTGTAGTTTGAGGATATTTTAGAAGAAATGAACAGAAAATTTTGATTCCTGCAGGCCTTAGTGTTGAGTCAACAAAAGAGCCATTATTACAACTATTGCTACCTAGTGAGTATGTGGTCTAAGCTTTATTATGTTTAGTGTTCGAAGTTTCCCCTCAAAGGTTTTGTCATTGTTTGACTGGAGGAGTGTTCTCGAGTGTATAATGATCAATGTGGCATGCGAAATGGCTATAGTGTCACACGAATCTCATAAAGTGCCTTCTTCAATCGACATTTTTCACTTGACAAAATCTCGCGGATCTAGGAACATTTTTTTCACTGTAGCAGTTTACTTGAAAATACTTTTCTCTTGGTTATTGACTACTTTTTCCCTACACCCGTCTTAAAATCAAATAAAATACAAAAGTGACAAACGACGACAAGAATCACAAAAAGAAATTCCAGTTTGGCATGCGATATATTCTTGAAATTCAAGAACACCCTCCCTGTTTCCGCTTCCATGCCTGAATTGAGGAAGAGAGAAGATACTTAGTAATTAGCGTTATTAGAAAAAGTAGGTGTACAACAAAGCCAACTTTTGAGCAGCTCCGCGGGCTTGTAATTAGAAACAGTACGTTTATTAGCATAATTTTTAATAAACCAGGCTTTCTGATTAAGAGTCCCTGGGTGCACGGGTTAACTTTCTCGAAATTGCATTTGGTGTGCTTTCCTGTTAATTTGCTTTGTTGAAAATTGGAAAATATTATCGCTGCGCCAGGAAAGTCACAGCTAATTAGAAGTTATTCTCGTTTTGCACTTACTAGGATCTTGATAAAAATTTCAATTTTTGCTGGGAACTTTTATTATGGAAGCATGTTTATTTCTTTTTATGCTCATTGTGCTTTAATGGGGCGTGTCCAATGAAAAGCTTTCTGAGGTATTTCAAGGAAGTTGTTAGCTTGATGGGAGGTCTATGAAACGACACCACAATGCAAATGAACGTCACCAACTAGCCAGCGTTGTAAAGTTCTCATGTATATATATGTAGATTGTAGACAGGAGAGTTTTATATTTTGCAAAAAATATCTAGCTTCAGAATCTCCCAAAATTAGATGGCGTTCTCTCGGACTTTCTTGTTTCTTGTCTCAAATACACTTACTTGAGAAGTATTCAAAGCTAGAAAACAAAATATCTGGTTGGTGAGCTAACAGGTGAGAAAATTTGCCGAGGACAGGAATATTTATAAAAGCGAAAATGTTATTACATTATTTTTTGATTCCGGTCATTTAAATTTTATAGAA